CCCCCCCCCCCCCCCCCGCTTACCAGTCAGTGCCACAAGGGCAGAGACTTTGCTTTGCTCCCAGCCTGACATAAAATAAGTACCTAATATCACTTTGATGCCTCTGAGTCTGGGACTCCTGGGTAAGCACTGAGTGCATGGCATGGGATGGTTTTATTTCTAATCTGAAAAGCACACTCCAGATCAAGACTATGAGGCCTCAGTCTATGAGGCTGACAATGTTCCTTCCTCTTTACTCATGCTCTGCTCTAACCTGACTTCATGGCTTCTTCCAGCATCTCGAGCCTCTCTCGAGTTCTTGTGCCACTGAGGAAAACAAGCAACACCAAAGAAATGATGGGTGCTGCCCACTGGAGATGTTAACTGGCTTCCTATGGCAATATGGGTGGGGCTTAGGCCCCAGGGCACAGCCAACGCTTAGCCTGGAGGCACCACGGACTAGAGAATGTACCTTGCAGCTGTGACTTTGTAGGGAACAATTTTGAACAGACTAGAGCTGCAGAGAAGTGGGAGGAAGGACTTGGCTGCCACTTTATCCAAGGCTTTGATCTATAGATGAGGCTCCAAGGGGGTACGCAGCTCACTTGAGTGGCTAAGCAAGAAAAGGCTCCAGCTTCCCAACAGAGGGCTGTGTTCATTGCCATCGACATATAAAGGTTTCACTGGACCCATGTCTCTCTCCACAGTTGTGTGAGCTCCTTAAGGGAAGAAGGGTATCTTAGGCATCTCTGTGTCTGGTATGTGGTGGGAAAGGAAGGACCAGGAGGCTAGTAAAATGGAAGTCAAGCGTGGAGGGTTCTGAGGATCCAAGCAGCCTGACTGGCAGCTGAAGCCATGAACAAGGCCCCTGGGTTAAGTCACTACCACCACTCATCTCTCTAGCCTTGCTACTCTCCAGCTTGCACCTCTGCGCTCCTGCTCTGGATCCTAACTGGTGTCTGAGATGCTCTTCCTCTAAATGCTTCCTACTCATTCCTGGCATGTAATCTACTGTGCAGTAATTACTCAGGGAATGAAGGAAATCAATGAATGTACTATGACGCATGGAATGTCGATGTACATGAACCAGTAACACGAAGCACGGAGATTTAAAAGGAATTTTGGCCTTGTATGCCTATCTGAGCACATCTTCTAAGATAGAGGCTCTTAAACTTTCTTGATTCATGGAGTTCCTGGTAGTGCACCAAATTTTTCATGGTTTCCCTAGGCTAAAAGAATTGCCTAACAGTTCCACCTACGGAGTAGTTTGTCCGAACAACCGCTGCAAATCCAGCTTTACAAAGATATAAAGTCGTCAGGGAGAAGGACGCAGGACATAATGTTGGAAGTGCAAACCCTTCCTATTGCTGCTTCATGTGGAGTTCAACAGACATAAACTTCTACTGCCTTTGAAAACTGGGCACCTGGCTC